ATCCTGACAGCATAGCCGGGTAGGTTGTCGGTGTCTGCGATCTCAGAGGACATTCCGAAGAACCCGTAACACGGGTATTGGGTCGGTATGCCGGCTTCGTTTTTTGTCCAAGTTGCCGGGCGGATGCAGTCTTCAGCAAGAATTTTGGCAACTGATTCCCAACTTGTCTTGTGGTAGATCAGGTAGGTGCCCATGTGTTCGCCACGGTAGATTGGTTTCTTCTTCAATCCTGTGGGAACCGTGATGGTCAGCAAGTTCTCTGGCTCAATGTAGAAGGCTTGTGTTTGCCTTGCGAGTTCGATGTCCAGTAAGTCGGATTGTGCAAAGGCCCTGGCAATATTCCTGACGGTGGCTTGGCTTGCTTTGATCCAAATACGATGGTTGTTGACGGTGCGGTATGGTTTAGCCAACTGTTCGAACATCGCGTCCACAAACTGGTTGAAGAGCTGCAAGATAGCCGGGTCAATGATTGGCGTAGAGGAACAACATGATCGGGGCCAAGCTCGGTCAGGCATCGAACTCTATGGGGGTCATTGGCCGCCGCCACCATTTCATCGAGGTCGATGTCATTCGTGTCAAACTTGGTGAGCGAAATGGTATCAGCAACCTCAGAATTTTCACTGTCGCCGTCCGGAACTCGGAAGGACACCGCGCCGAGTGGTGCTGAAGTGTGGGTTGGTGGGTTGGTTTGTGGTTCCGATGGTGGTGGAGCAGTAGGAGAATTGGGTCGAGCAGTGTGGTGGTCGTAGGCGTCGTTGTAGTGGCTTTCGTTCCATGTACCCCAGGTGTCATCAGCATCAGGAGTAGGAATGTAGTTCGGATTGGATGGGTTTGCAGCAGGTCGAAGTATGACTTCACGGCCTCGGGATTGGTGACGTGGTGTCGCGGAGCGTGGGCGTGGATGGGAGCGGTGACGTCGAGGGACCACAGGAGAGCGGCGTCGTGGTGGTGAGCGTCGTCTGTATGGAGATGGTGTTCTGCGGCTCTTGTCGGGTTTCGTAGATGATCGATGACGAGGGAGAGGAGAACGAGGTCGCTCTGTACGTGGAGGAGAATGGCGAAGGCGATAGGAATGTACAGAAGGTCGATGGGAACGTGATCTTGGAGTTCTGGATCGTGGTCGGCGTGTTGGTGGTGGTGGACCGTGTGGTTGGTGAGGAGGAGCGATGGTTGGAGCTGGGACAATGCGATGGTCCTGAACGTCCGGTTCGGTGGGTCTGGCCTTTGGTGCAGGTGGAGGCGTGGCGATCAGTGGTGGTGTAGGTGTAGGTGGCGGTATCTGTGGTGTAGGATTCGGTGGATGTTCATCTTGTTGAAGAAGGAGTTGACGTTGTTCTTGTGCCCGTTGAGAATCCATGAGTAATAGTTGCTGAGCTTGGATAAGTCGAACAGATTCGGCCAGTTGTTGTGCAGTGGAACCCAGGGATGCAAGTTCAGGTGGAACGGATGAAGTCGGTGCTGTCTGAGGTGTCGATGGTGTAGCGTGAGGAGGGGTTTTCGGAGCTGGTCTGCGCGGTCGATCCGGTCTTTTGTCAGAGCGATGCCTGGGAGCTGCTTTGACTGCTGGGGGCCGTGGTGAAGGCTCATTTGGAGGGATCGTCGATGCGTCCATCTGTAATGGAGGTTGAATGTGGTGAGGTGGGTATGGAGAACTGGGCAAAGGAGTTGGTGTCATAGTCGATGTAGGTGGTGTAGTCGATGTAGGGGATGGAGCCGAAGTGGAAGGCCACGCGGGTGGAGCGGGAGGTGCCAGAGGAGATGGAAAAGTCGACGGAGCGGTGTGTACCATAGTTGGTTCAGGAGCCAAAGGTGAAGGCATGGTGGGTACTAGTTGTGGACCTGGTACTGCATGAGGAGCCGAAGTCAATGAGGTGAACGGCAACGATGTTGGGGCGGATGTAGACGGCATGAGCGAAGCGGAGGATGACCATGTAGGATGCAAAGCCGAGGGATGTCCAAATAAATGTGCATTAGGTGTCGATTGCGGCCACGTCGAAGATGGGTTCGAAGGCTGTGGTGGAGCAGGCCATGATGTTGGAGTGTTCCACGGATGCATCGCTTCAGTAGGTCAAAACAAAAGTGGACAATTGTAAAAAGTTTCACATACAGGATTCAGTCCCTAACTACCTACAAAATCGTGCAATTATTCCCTGCACCGGGACCGTGGTCAAGTCGTGCCGCAATGGCATAAAACAGCTTTCAAGTTCCAACGAATTAGGTGCACAATATGTTTCACCTCACCAGACAACCATCAAAAGAAAGGATCACCACACCTGAAAGTCGTGTGCCTGCCTGATTTCTTGTCATGATTTGATGCAACGGTGTTGCAAAGCAGCTGCAAAAAACGGAGGTTTCAGAACATTCGGAATGGCTTCCCTTGAAAGAACGCAGCACTGGGGTCCCTGGGACAATAGGAGCGGCGGGACATCACAAAAGGCGAATAACCGAAAGGCTGGCTGTTGCACTTTACTTAAATGAATTACTGAGTTGAAACGTGTAAATTCAGAATTCAAGTCTGTCAACACTCACCCTGAAGAGGGTTGCCTCCAATGGCTCCATGGCACCATGTCGGAGCCACCATGGAAATCACACTAGACAAGAATGGATCATTATATGATCCGGCAGGAACTGAATCCTGAAACATGCAAACCAGCCTAGATTATTAGATGAATAAAAGAGCCACATGAGGTACTTCTCGCAAACGATGTAGGGCATCCGAAATTGTCAAACGTAGTCATAACCAGATTCCATAGAGTTTTGACCAGCATGTTGAAATCCAAAATAATGTTTCGGCGATTGTTTCCCAAAATAACCCATAGTTCGTCGGCGACAGGATCTCGGCGAAAATAAGTCAAAAAACATAATACTGTCGGCGATATGGTTTCGGCGAAAATCTGAGGAAGGTTCTGATGCATGTAAATGTCAAAATTGATTCCAGATTGCGTCAACAGTGCAGTAAATTGAAATTTCAAATGGACGACGTGGAGGTTCTTGGGTTGAGCCTCTTCCCATTTCAGTAAATTGGCAGGTACGTCACGGTGATCAGCCGTGATATCACAAGCATTGGATAGGTGTCTTCGTTGGCACCTGACCTATCCATGCTCCAGGTGCCCCCTGCAAATTAGTGAAAACCAATCAGAAGTTTTACATCTGTTCAGATGGTACACACACACACGTCATGCTACGTTATTGTTATGTTCTCTTGCACTTGCACACACACGTCATGCTACGTTATGGTGATCTTCTCTTGCACTTGCTCACACACGTCATGCTACGCTATGGTTATCTTGGGACCATTGACACCTCACCGATTTCTCGAAGAACTTTGCAAGGCCGTCAAAGCAACGAAGCGCTTCTGAGAAGAAGGAAAAAAAGTGCTGCATCCCAAAAAAACACGAACTTATGTCAAAAAACGAAGTAGTTTTGGAGATTTTCAAAACCCTATTTTTCACGTCAACATGAGAAAAAATGACGTTTCGCTGTAGCGAAAACGACATTTTTGTTGATGAAAAACTCCTAAAACCATACGGCCGTCTATGGGTCGGGAACCATGTAGTTTACCTGATGCATCTCTTGAAAGTCCGGAACGTGGGATGACTTGCGATTTGAGAAGATTGAGGACTGGGACGTGCTTTTGCTACGCACATGCCTTTGGCGAAACAAGGAAACCACAGGATATAGCAATCAAAGGCTTCGCAAGTGTCCTGCGGCACCATATTTCCAAAACCGCTGGAGGCAGGATCATGAGTGTTTACCCACAGGACTGAGTCTCCGCGGGCCCAGTTGGCCTCGGTGTTGCAAGGTGAGGAGCCACAGCCAAAACAACCACTTCAGATAATTACTTCAGGATGGCTGTTGATCTTTGGTGCAACGGCGTCTGCTAAGCACAGGCTTGCAAGATAAGAGCGAGAAAATGCATGGCATGGTACCACCCGGGCAGTATGGCGCTGTTCTCCGCATCTTGTCTTTTTACACATTGCTTCTAAGGTGCTCCCGTGCTCAGCACACCAGAGGACATTTGCTCTTGGGCAGTTCGAGCAGTGTCAGCCAATTGCTTTGCCATACCTGGGCTCAAAGGCAGTGCGCTTGATGTAAAACAAACAGTACATGCCGGGCACATGCAATGTTGGCACGTTTTCCATATTTTTCTATCCTTTTCCATCCTTTTCCAGCAACTAGCGTATAGTATACTTGCATGATGCCAATGTGATGCCAAATTGCCTTCAGGTAGGAAATTGTCCAACACCACGAAGCCGTGATCTTTCAGCATACCTTGTCGGCATCATGGCCGCAGAGAGTAGAAAACAAAAAAACGCAGCACATCATAGCACTCAAACCACACAAACACGCAAACTACATTGGACAACCACCTTGTTTTCTCTTGCAGCCGATCCTAACTGGTCACACTGAATCTAGCACTTTGAAGCGCTGAACTCGGGATGTGATGACATGGTTCGTTCTGACATTGAAAACACATTGCTGCAACTAGATTGCTCGCTAGTTTTGCCCCGCTGTCGGGGGATTTCCACCAACCTTCTGACTTCGCTGCATCCTGGAGCAAACCAGTCAAGCTACCAAACCAGTCAAGTTCAACTTGTTGATTGGAAAAAATGTGTCCAATGGTAGGAACCGACGCAAAACAGGTGCTGCTATTTCAATTCCTTCCCTGCCTTTGTCCCCGTAAAGTCTGGGGACATTGGTTTGTTCATCCACCTCCACTCGAGAACTCAAGATTTTTTTGGTTTTCCAGATTTTTTGATGATTTTCCTCGTTCTTTTTGCAGCCGTTCGGTGTCCTGCAGTTTCCGAATCTTTGCCGAGGCAGTTCCTTCACCAAGCGGTGGAGCGCGCAGGAAGCGCCAGTACTCCCAGGCATAGGCGCCCCACCACCTCCAGGTGGACACTGGGACCCACTGGGAACACAGATCGCAACGCTTTTGGCTGCACCCTCTGGGTGTTCTTCCCAGTGGGTATGGTGATTTGCGGCTATGTGAACACATGGCATCTCAACTCTCTCCATGTATCACCACTTTAACATCTCTGCCAAACCTGAAATGATGCATGCTGCGTTACAAATTGATTCCGACCAGGCAAGCACCTGTTTCCAAGGGTGCCCTGCAAGTGGTCCCAAAAGTCCTTAATATGATGTTTCCTCTGCTTGTCGGAACGCCCTTCAAGGTGAAAGCGGTGCGCAACAGTTGCGACTGACAACCAACCAATGAATGTATAACGTCTTTATTCAAATAAATGTACATTATACCAGTAGTACCGCACAAGGCGGTGGCGAAAGTTTCAAAAAATAGCAAACCTATAGGAGAGGTTGGTTGTTGTGAATCACAGATGGCAGAGCGAATCCACTGATGGAGCGAAAGGTGGTTGAAGCTGTGTTTTTTGGAGTGGTTGCAATGGTTGCAGTGGTACCTCACCCACAACTGCTGGATGAAGTGTGGCGTAGCGCAGTTGTAGTTGAAGCTGTAGTGTGGTGTAGCTGCAGTTGCAGTTGTAATTGTAGTTGTGGTATGGTGTAATGAGTGTAGTGTACTGTAGTGTACTGTATTGTAGTGTGCTTTAGTGTTGTGTACTGTAGTGTGGTCTAGTGTAGCGCAGTGTAGTCTAGTGTAGCGTCAGATAGTGTAGTTGTAGTTGTAGTGTGGTGTAGTGTAATTGGTGTAGCGTCGTGTAATGCAATCTAGTTGTAGTTACAATTGTAGTTGCAGTTGCAGTTGTGGCTGTAGCATAGTGTAGTGTAATTAGTGTAGCGTAGTGTTGTGCAATGTAGTGTAGCTGTAGTTGCATTTGCATTTGTAGTTGTAGTGTGCTGCAACGTAATTAGTGCAGTGTAGTGTAACGTGGTGTAGTTGATATTGTTGTTGTAGCTGTGGTAGTAGTAGTTGTAGTAGTGTAGTTACTGTAGTGTAGTGTAATTAGATGTAATTAGTGTAGTGTAGCATAGTGTAATTAGTGTGGTGTAACGTAGCGTAGTTTATTTGCATTTGTAGCTGTAGTAGTAGTGTAGTGTAGTGGTAGTGGTAGTGGCTTTTGTAGTTGTAGCTGTCTATCTATCTATCCCTGCAAGCTTGAAAACGAAGCTATTCTAAAGGCTTCCTCAATTTTTGAGCTTGACAACATCCAAAACGAAGCAATCCTGCGAGTTTTCCTCAATTTTTGAACTTGACTCCATCCAAAACGAAGCAATTCTGCGACACTTCCTCAATGTTTGAACTTGACAACATCAAAAACGAAGCAATTCTGCGAGACTTCCTTCAAATAAAAAATTGAGCTGATGGCCTCGTGCCAATGCGTTTTGCGATTTTTCCACTCCACCTGTCCAAAGCACTGCGCCTACCACAAAAAAGTGATGCCAGGTCATGGGAAGTGCTGCACCTGTCACGCAAAATCATCTTAGCAAACCTACAGATCTGATGCTCCAAAATGCAACCCCTCTCAGGAAGTCAGCGCCCGGACCTCATAACAGCTCTGATGAACATGTCTCTTGTACTGTGCCTGCCACGGAAAATGCATCTTTGCAGATCCTCTTCAAATGTCCCACGCCTGCCATCGTTTTTGGAAATGCGACAAAACCCTCACGTTTTGCTCACTTTTGACAAGGTGCACCATCCCTTGCGCCTGCCACGCAAAAACGACGCCTCAACGTCCAAAAGTGGCGCGTACTTGTGGTGTTTTGACTTCGGAATGTGCTTCGCGCCACACCGGCGTGCACTTTTTCGACATCTCAACTTCCAAAAGTGTTGAGGCTGAGGTGTTTTGTACATTTTGACTTGGAAATGCGCTTCGCGCCACAACGGCGTGCAATTTTTCATCTCTCATTTGGCCAGCTGGCTCCGCACCCGCTTTAGCGAGCCTACTTTTCGACCCTCCGGAGCCACAAATCATTCGAAAAACACAGTGCTTCGCGCCTTTCCTACCTTTTCGCGCACCTGCATCTTCTATCCTTCTGAACTTTCTCTTTTGGATCTTCTTTGTTCTTCTCTTCTCTTCTCTGATTCTTCCCATCTCTGCTTTTCATCTGCCCATATTGTCGGAAGTTTGACTTCTAAACTTCCTTCGATCAGAGGGGTTGCTTTGGGGCCACTTGCGGCCACTTGCAACCCACGCGCTTGGAATTTTCTGGGGGAGTGGCTGCAAGTGGCTGCGCGCTGCCAGAGATCCATGGCAGAGTTGAAATCTTGAAAAAATATAGTTTTGCAGGAAAAGCGTTTTTTTTTCGAGTTTGGAAGTTGGATAGGTAGGATTTTATCGTACCTCATGCCGGCCCCGGGTAGTCAAAATCATGTGGCAAACCATATACCATCCATGTTTTCCACGGTGCAGGGAAGATCTTGGGGCGTCGCATCAATGGTGGCAGAATGTTCGAAAATTGGAGCGTAGCAAAAATGATGCTAGAATAACGGAAAATGGAAAGGAGATCTCAGAACGTAGCACGAATGAAAGTAGAAAACTGAGGGGAAGATCTCAAAGCGGAGCGTCAGTGATGGCAACTGTTTGAAAGTTGAAGAGAACACCTTAGGGCATAGCATCAATGATGCTAGGAAACTGAAGAACGTGGAGAGTAGCATCAATGCAGTACTATGTAAGAAAATTAAGGAGAAGATCTAAGAGCGTAGCAACAATGAGGCTAGAAAATTGCAGAGTAGCATCAACGAGGGTAGAACGTGAAAAGAAAACATGAGAAGCTCTTGGACCATAGGATCACTGATGGTAGAATGTTGGAAGGTTGAAGAGGCGATCTTGGAGCACAACATGAATGATAAAATAATATTTGAAAGCTGATTAAATCTTAGAGCGTGGCATCAATGATGTTAGAAAATTCAGAAGACCTTGGCGCGCAGCATCACTGAAAGTTGAAAATTCAAGACAGGATCTAAGAGCATAGCATCAATGATGGTACTGCAGAAAATTGAGACAAGATCGTCGAGCCAAGGGTAAGTGATGCTGGAAAATTGAAAAGAAGATCTTAGTGCGCGGCATCCATGATGTCAGAAAGTTGAAGAAAATATCTTAGAGCGTAGCGTCAATGATGTGAGAAAATTGAAGAGAAGATCTTGAAGCGTGACATCAATGATGTTTGAAAATGTGAAGGGAAGATCTTGGAGCGTAGCTTCCATTATTTTGGAAAATTGAAGAGATTACTGTACGTTAGACCATAACATCAAGGATGTTTAAAATTGAAGAGAAGATCTTACAGCGTAGCACCAATGATGGTCGAATAGGGGAAAAAACAAAAGAAAGTCAAAGGGCATAGCATCAATGAGGATAGAACGTGAAAAAAAAACATGAGAAGCTCTTGGACCATAGAATCACTGATGGTAGAATGTTGGAAGACTGAAGAAACGATCTTGGAGCACAGCATCGATGATGAAATAATATTTAAAAGTTGATTGGACCTTAGAGCGTGGCACCCATGATGGCCCATGATGTAAGAAAATGCAGGTGAAGACCTTGGCGCGCAGCATCAATGATATTTGAAAATTCAAGACAGGATCCAAGAGCATAGCATCAATGATGGCACTGTAGAAAACTGAAAAAAGATCGTCAAACTAAGTGTCAGTGATGTTGGAAAATTGAGAAGGTCTTACTGCGCAGCATCCGTGATGTCAGAAAGTTGAAAATATATCTTACAGCGTAAAGTCCATGATGTGAGAAAATTGAAGAGAAGATCTTGAAGCGTAGCATCAATGATGTTTGGCAATTGAGGAGAAGATCTTAGAGCGTAGCAATAATCAAAGTAAAATGGGAGAAAAGTGAAAAAGAACATCTAAGAGCATGGGCATAGCGTCAATGAGGGTAGAATGTGAGAAAAATCAAGAGAAGATGATAGAACGCAACATCCATGATGCCAGAGAACTGAAGAGAACATCTTAAAGCGTAGCGTCAATGACCTTACAAAATTGAGAAAAACCTTCGAGTGTAGAATCACTGATTTTAGAAACTTGAAGAAGACATCTTTGAGCGTAGCATCAGTCATAGTAGAATGTTGGTATAATGACGCGCAGATCTTGGAGCGTAGCATCAATGATGGTAGAATACGGTAGAATGTGTGAAAGTTGGATAGATCTTGGAGCGCGGCAACAAATGTTAGAAGACTGACAAGAAAATGTCGGGGAGTAGCATTAATGCGAATTTACGCAAGAAAATTGAACAGAAGGTCTCTGCGCGTAGCATCAGTGATGTTAGAAACTATTATCCCCCGTTCATTACGTCTTCCCTCTCGTTTAAATTCTTCCCTGCCATTCGCTACATCGTTCCTATCGTTCAACTCTTCCCTTCCATTCGTTACTTCCACTTCTTTCCTTTCGTTTCAACGCTTCCATCTGGTTCATTTACCTTTTCCTTTCGTTTCACAAGGTGTTCATCTCGTTACGTCCTTCCATTCGTTTCAACTCGTACATCCCGTTCGTTTACCTATTCGTTTCGTTGCAACTCGTCCATTTCATCTGTTACTTCTTTCCTTTGGTTTCCACTCGCTTGCATCCCGTTCGTTTACCTCTTCTTTCGTTTCAAGTCATTGATAAGGTTAGGTCCTCCCATTCGTTTCAATTCTTTAACTCTTACATCCCGTTCGTTTACCTGTTTGTTGCGTTGTTGCAACTCGTCTATTTCGTTTGCTACTTCTTTCCTTTGATTCCAACTCTTGCATTTCGTTCGTTGCTTTTTCCCTTTCCTTTTAACTCTTTCCTTCGGCTCGCTATGCCATTCTTTTCGTTTCAATTCTTCCCTTCCATTCGTTGCTTCCTTCCTTCCGTTTCAGCTCTTACACTGTGTGCCATGGCAGTCTTGAATGCGGTTAGCGGGAAAAATCGTGAGGGGCACAGCAGCCCAGACTGGCATTTGCAATCCAAGCGGCCACTTGTGGCCACTTGCGGCCACTTTGCGGCCACTTGCTCTAAAGATCCCTTGCGGCCACTCGAGTGGCTGCAAGTGGCTGCGGGTGGCTGCGTTTTTGAATTTCAAATGCCGCACGTTTTGCGACCTTAATGAATTATATTGTATTGTATACATACGTAAAAAGGTCTCCATATCTACTTCTACCTGCTATGTACGGCAAAAAGAATGATGGGATTGCTGCCCAGTCTCCCATTCACCACTCGTGCCAATGGCTGGAGCATAGAGCGCCCAATCGCCCAGGGGGACCGATGTTGTACCACCTAGGCCAGGCACCACTGCCCACACCGCCGCGCCTGGATTGCCCTGGCCGCAGGACCCAGTGGATACAATCTGGGAAAGAAATGTGGTAGCGCCTATCATATCATGTGTGTATATCTCTGTATCTCTCTCTCTCGATATAATTTATATATATGTATACACACGTACACACACACTAGAAAAGAACTGGGTCATTGAAGTTCCTAGATATAAGATGATATAAGGTCGTGCATTATTCCCTCGCAGAGACGGTAGTCGGTCACACCCACAAGTGGGCATTGAACAGCTAGTCAAGTTCACACGAATTTGGTGCACAATATGTTCAACCTGCAGGAAAAGTACATGCCTGAAGCCTCGAGATCTGTATGCTGCCAATCAAATGCATTAATTTGTGTCCCTGTGTTGCAATAAAAAGTTTTCGGCTGTTCCGCGCAGCTTCACTTGAGCAAAGCTGAAGATTCCGAGGTGTAACGTGGACAGCAGGAGCAGCGAGACTTCTCAAAAAAGGTGAAGAACAGCAAGGCCGACTGTTTCACAATACTTAAGCAAACTACCAAATTAAAATGTGTGAATTCAGAGTTCCGTTCGTCCTCCCTCTCGCAAAAGGGTTCCCTCAAGTGGGTCCATGGCACCATGTCGGAACAACTATGGAAATCACACTAGAAAAGAATTGGATCATCGAAGTGATCCGATGGGAACTGAATCCCGTAAACGTGCAATCAAACAAGATTATTGATCCAAGGTAGACCTCCTTGTAGCTGTATACAACCTTTTAAGATGAAGTTCCAATAATTGAAATCGTGAACAGAAACTTGACCACAAAGTTCCAAATACAACAGATCACGAACAGAAACTGATCCACAAAGTCCCCAAAGAATGAATAAATAAACCATGTTGATATCAGGCATCACCAAGTTTAGAAAGGAATAAATAAATTCAAATACCAGATTGCGGCAAACGTGCGAAGCATGAACTGAAACGTCAGGTCGGGGTTCTCGGCTTGGCCCCGAACCCCACATACTTTTCTTTCTGCTCTGCAGCTGCCCGTGGATGTTTTTGAATTCGGCATGTCGGCATTTCCCACTGATTTTTTTTTAGTTACTAATTCTACGTGTACTGAGTACTGATTTTCTGACTCTGTATGGCTGGGTATTTACCCCTGCGACATGGAGGTTCTCCCTTTGCTGACTTTTTCCAGAACCAACATCCGCTTGCTACTCCCTCATCTACCTTGATTGTTCCCGAGCTGGCATCCCAACTGATTCACTTGCCCTTTGGCCAATCTGAGTCAGGCACGTCGCCCGTTGCTCCCGCCTCCGCGATCACCGCCATTCCTGCAGACCAACTACAGGCTCTTGCGCAGGGACTTCACGCTTTGGCATCCTGGCGACCTACCGATCCTGAGACTTCTGAGGCCGCCTGATAAATCCCTTCGAATCAGATCGTGTTCTCTTCCGGAAAAGCAAACCCTGCGGTTGCAGTGTGTGTGCGTGTGTGTGACACTGCACACACACACACACTGTGTGTGTGCAACATCTGAACAGATGTAAAACTTCTACTTTTTGAATTCGTTGATTTAAAAAAGGGGGACAGAGCTATGCTTAGTCCCAGCCACATTGGATCAACTGTAAAAAAACATGCTTTCGATCAGCAAGTGAACGCTGTAGCAAAGGAATCTTGCCTTTTCACGGAAGAGGTTCGGAGCGGAGGCGACACCAAGCGGGAGAATCATATTGTTCATCCAAAACAGGCGCGCAAGGATCCAAGAACCAATAGTGTAATGCACAGATAAATCGAAAGGTAGGTCGTCAGCGATGGTAGCCCTCATCCTTGGTCTTGCCGCGTGGGGTCGTTGAAGGGTGTGATGAGTGCTTGGAGTAAGGCTTGGCAATGGAACTGGAAGAGGAATTTGTTGCAACGACACCGTCCTTCCCTTTTGTGATTCCTCCCGACGACAAGCTCGCTGGAGTTGGTCATTGCCCCCTGCCATGTTCTTGTTGAGCTTTGGTGTTCGACACGTTGCTATCAAGCCTGCCGGAAGCTGGCCCTTGCCGATCTTGTACAATCCCGAAGTGCAAATGTTGACAGCCCAGTCAGACAGCGCAGAGGAGGTGACAATTTCTGCGCCGTAGCCAAAGAAGCCAAAGCAAGGATACTGGTTGGGGATGTTGTCAGCGTTGCGGCTCCATCCCGATGGTCGAATAGTGTCTTCCAGAGTCTTCCACCAGTCTTTTGGGATGACGTCCCATTCTGTTCTGTGATAGATGGTATTGCTGTCATCCTTGTCAAATAGCGGTTTCTCCTCAAGTCCTGTCGGAGTGACGACTGTCAGGAGGTTGTGAGTCTCAATGTAGTATCCTTTGGCGCGCTTGGCAAGATGTACATGAAGGAGGCCATCACGGGCAAAGCTGGCCATGTTCTCGATCATCTTTTTGCCGGCCTTGATGTAGATCTGGGATTTGCTAGCCGAGGTGTAAGTTTGGGACAATTGCTGCTGGAACATGGCATCAAGGAATTCTTTGTAGGTTCGGTTTTCAGATGTAGTGAAGGTTGTCTTGAGGTTCCATTTGTGTCCAGGTGGTACCTCGTTCACGCACTTGATGCGCTTTGGGTCCTTGTCGGCATCCTTGTAATCAACGAGCCAGCTTGTTGATTTCGTAAAGTCTGGTCTGGAATAAGGATTGGTGCAGCGGCTTCCTCGTCAGTGCCTTCAGTGGAGCCAGCGGGGGATCTTTGCGCAACCATATCCAGTGGCGAACGTGGTGTTGGAGATCGCGGTCTTCTCGATGGGGAGTGGGTTTGCGTGGGGTCGGGCTGTGCCTGCTCAGGTTGACGGGCTTCGGGAGGCAAAGCTGAGCTGCACTTGCCTGGTTCTTCATAGGTCCGGGGTCCTCGGTCTCGATGGTGTCGGGCTCGATCTCGACGAGGTGAACGGCGACGATCACTCGAAGGAGTGCGTCATGCTTAGGGATGATGAGGTGTAGAACGATGCCGAGGAAGAGGAGAGCTGACTGGCTGGGGTCGGGTGGCGCGAGTTCGGAATGGTGATCGGGATCTGGTTTTGGAGTGGTGTCGTGAACGTTGGCGATGTAGTCTGGAATGTGAAGTGGTAGCATGAGGTATATAGTGGTTCACGAATCTGGTAGTGGAGGTGGAGGTTGATCGGAAAGAGATCTGGATGGGTGTGTTCGGTGGGCGGAGCGGCTGCGACGCGGTGTTGGTTGTTGCCCAGGTTGTTGTCCAGGTTGGTGAGCTGGGAGAGGATGTGCTGGTTGTTGCTGGGTCTTTTCTGGATGTTGTTGAAGGCGATCTTCAATACGGGATGCCGATGCCCTGGTCAGTGGTCGTCGAGAAAGAGGAGGTTTTGTAGGTGGTGATTGTTTAGGTGCTGGAGGTGGGATGTCTGGTGCGGGATGTTGAGGTGTACCGGTAGCCGTCGATGGTCCAGCACATGAACTCAACTGACCTGGTTGAGGAGGGCTAGCTTGGAGTCCTGGATGTGGTAGAGGGCACGCAGGAGGAGGTAACGTTGGTGGTGGGTTGTTGGCCATAAACTGGGTCTAAAGGTCGGGTGTTTGTGGTGGAGTGGATGTAGTCTGCGGTGTAGTCAAGTGCGAGTGTAGCGGGGAGGTGATGAAGTGAAAGGCGGTTGAGGTGGGAAAGATGGATTCGGATGTCGAGTGGTCCAATGTAAGTGAAGATCAGTGGGATGTCCAAATATGTCCAAATACGTGTTCCGATGGGCTTTGTGACAACGATGTATTGGAAGTCGATGGCATTGACATTGGTGGAGGTTGTCCAAGAAGTGGTGAGCTGTGGTGTGGAGGGACATGTTGTGTGGTCATGTGTGGTCCAAGGAGAGGATGTCGAAGGCAGCGTTGCCGTACAGCTCGATGGTGGAGGCGCAGGCCACAACGCAGGAGGAGTAATCCACGGCCACGTGGTTAATCGGGAGCGACAGCGCTGGAGAATTTAATAGAAAAGGTTCAAAATCGACTGGGATTCAGCTCCTAGATATAAGCTGATATAAGGTCGTGCATTATTCCCTCGCAGAGACGGTAGTCGGTCACACCCACAAGTGGGCATTAAACGCTAGTCAAGTTCACACGAATTTGGTGCACAATATGTTCAACCCTCACCAGAAACCAAAGTGACCACACCTGCAGGACAAGGACATGCCTGAAGCCTCAAGATCTGTATGCTGCCAATCAAATGCTTTCATGTGTGTCCCTGTGTTGCAATAAAAGTTTTCGGCTGTTCCGTACAGCTTCACTTGAGCAAAGTTGAAGATTCCAAGGTGTAACGCGGACAGCAGGAGCAGCGGGACTTCGCAAAAAAGGTGAAGAACAGCAAGGCCGACTGTTTCACAATACTTAAGCAAATTACCAAATTAAAATGTGTGAATTCAGAGTTCCGTTCGTCCTCACTCTCCCAAAAGGGTTCCCTCAAGTGGGTCCATGGCACCATGTCGGAACAACTATGGAAATCACACTAGAAAAGAATTGGATCATCGAAGTGATCCGATGGGAACTGAATCCCGTAAACGTGCAATCAAACAAGATTATTGATCCAAGGTAGACCTCCTTGTAGCTGTATACAACCTTTTAAGATGAAGTTCCAATAATTGAGATCGTGAACGGAAACTTGACCACAAAGTTCCAAAGACATAAGATCACGAACCGAAACTGATCCACTCCCCAAATCATGAACAAATAAACATAAATAAACCATGTTGATATCAGGCATCACCAAGTTCAGAAAGGAGTAACTGAGTAACAAAAATCAAATACCAGGTTGCGGCAAACGTGCGAAGCATGAACTGAAACGTCAGGTAGTTCTCGGCTTGGCCCCGTGCCATGTCAGCGAAAATGAAATAATCGGATTGCAGGTACGTCCAGCTGGCCAAGCTGGATGTCCCATTTCACTGGTAGCTTCGTTGGACACAGTCCTAGTGAAATGCTGTGTCTCCCTGCATTAATCAACAAAGTCAAAATGTAGAAGTTTTACATTTGTTCAGATGTTGCACACACACACACGCACGCAAACACACACATATATATATATACATGTATCATACATATATATATAAATACATCATAAATATATATATTATATATATGTCATTATTTATCTATTTTTTCTATTTACAGTATTTACTTGTTTAGTTATTGGCTAGTTATTATTCATTCATTGTTTATTGTTTATTTTTGTATTTATTTATTTATTCATATTTATATTAGTGCGTGTGTGTTTGCATGTGTTGTATCATATTAATATGCATGTTATTTTTGGTGTGCATTCAATATCACAACTATCACATAGAGGGGATCAAGTTCAAGTCAGTAAAAGGCTTAAAAGGATTTAAAAGGTCTCAAAGTGTCCAGTGCACCTGAAAGATCAACTGATTATGCAATTCCACGATGTTCTACGATATTCACCCCCCAAGTTTCCTATGGCATTCGCCTCGGCTGAAACCCCACGCAGCCGGTGTACAGCCCATGTACCTCAAAGCCCTGATGCCCGTGCCACCTGGCTAGGAACGCCTTTAGGGCTAAGCAGCTGGGCATTCCCAAGCAGCTGCCGCTGCTCCAATTGCTGAAGAAAAGTCGCAGCAGCTTCAGACCCATCGTGCCCAAGCCTTATCTGACGCGGTCTGAGGCCAGTGACCCGGGAAGTCTTGGAGGATCTTGGAGGTTTGGAGCAGGTCCATGAGCAGCTTCTGATTAAAACATGCTAAACCCGATGCCCCCAGCTTGACCCATGATGCACGTAACGATCATGCACCCATCCAGTTCCATCCAGTTCCATCCAGTTCCTGGTTTGATCCAAGCAGCTGGACTGCCGGGGAGCCAAGCCCGGCTCGCAGCGCTACACAGCTTGGCCGTGACTTCCATCTGACAGCCTGCCATACGGTTCATGGTTTACTCAGTTTACGTTGAGGTAAGCCTCCGCATGGGCTCCACTAGTTGACATCGCTTGGCAGATCTTGGCAGCCAATTTTTTTTCCGCACTTCGCTTCTTGCCACAAACGGTATCAGTTGACCGCAAGCTAGAAAGAAGCTCTCAATTTGAAAAGTCTGAGGTCTGCGGCCAATATGCAAACAAGCCAGAAAACGACGCCCCGGACATGTCTCACAAGTGCCAATGATCCACACAACCCAATGCAACTCTCAAGTGTTGGTGCGCACTACTTATACTTGGCGATGTTCTGACCAAACATCATGCTACAATGGAAACTCCGCGATTCTGCTTGAAACATCCCGAGACATGTCGAAAGGTGGGGCGTCCGAATTTAGGCACTCAGAGTCATGCTGTCAGCAGATGTCTTGGACATGGCTAACGCGCCACGTGAAAAGATTTCAAACTACCCTCACATTTACATGTTGTGTCGCACTGAGAGTCAGGCTATCAACAAATGTCTTGGACTAACGCATGCTAGCTAACGCACCACTTGCGAAGATAGCAAGCCCTTTCATTAACGGCTATTAACTTGACCAAGTTCAGCTATTTTGGCGGGCGACTCGAAGTCGGCCTGTTTTTGTGCCTGGCCGCCCCCTTCACCCGATCTCTTAGACTCCGCGCTTGCAGAAGACATTTCACTCTTTCGAGTGTCGACTGCCCAGGAACTCACCTCAGATGTGACATCATACTGACATACTCCGTTTCGCGACCCTCTTTGTTAGTCACCGTTCGTCGTTCAACGCTTCAACATCCCAACTCTATCCCATTTAATGTTCCGTCCTGATTTGTGCGGGCCCACGGCTATAACCTCCTTAAGGTTGAGTTTTTATAAGCTGTTCCCCAGATAAAATATGATAAAATACGATCATACATTTAAGAAGTAAGTGGCGACAATCATTTTTCTGCAGTGAACTTGTAGTACTTGTAGTACTTATAGTGAGTGGGGTTCACCATGGTGATTGCGTTACCTTTTGCGCCTCAAGTTTTTGACTGTGTAGTAAGAGAGAGAGAGAGAGAGAGGAAGAGAAAAGAGAGAAAGAGAAAGAGAGAAAGAGAAAGAGAGAAAGAGAAAGAGAGAGAGAGAGAGAGACAGAGGGAGAGGAAGAGGAAGAGAAAGAGGAAGAGGAAGAGAAAGCGAAAGAGAAAGAGAAAGAGGAAGAGACAGAGGAAGAGGAAGAGAAAGAGGAAGAGAAAGCGAAAGAGAAAGAGAAAGAGGAAGAGAAAGAGAAAGAGAAAGAAGAAACAAAGACGAAGAAAAAGAGAAGTTTGCTTTTGTAAAAGGCGTTTCTTTCTTCTTTTGGCTCCAGGATCACCTCCGAAAATGTTTTTTTCGGTGTAATTGTGAACCCTGAGAACAAACCTGCTAAAGTGAACTGGACTCTCTCATGGTCCAGTGCCTTGGAAATTGGTGGAAATGCTGTTCTTCAATAAGGGTTTAATAAGCGATCTGATCCTTTTGGGAAAGGCAAACAAGCAAGATTTCCCAGAAAAATGCTACAATAAGATTTTTGAAAAGAAAAATGGTATGCCAAGAGTTCTTGCCGCAATAGTGGAGCTTTCAACCTAATCATGGGTTCTGAATAGTTTGTACATGTCTAGCAACAAGAACGAACCTAGCTTCTCATCAGGATGCAATATTAACTCCGCAAAGGGTCTGAAAAATGATAAAAAAATGAATGTTATTTTTTTCCCATTTGCATGTGGGACTGTCATAGCCAGAAGTAGGCGCATAGAACCAGATACAAGCGCAATATGGCAATGTGAATTGAAATTGTTGGATGGGCTGCAGTACATGTGAGCTGGAGTTGGATAGGAACAATTTCTTTTCCGTTTGCAGGTGGGCGAATAGGATCATCGTATATTGTATCAATATACATTGGTACTGGATACGGATTATAAGGCATGGCCATTTGTATACATAGTGAGCAAAATGGACGGATGAAATTACATGCAAGCTTGGGTCGGATGCGAAAGACTAGGAGCAAATGTCTAGATTCTAGATCAACATCAATCACGACATTCGCTGCTAATTTGGTTTTGCCACGTGTCAAGGAATGGTGACGAGGCGTAAGACGAATATTATAAGGATTGCAAAATGGTGCACAAGGACGCCGCAGAAGAAGTTGTGAATGTCAGAGCGCGCATGGCGCACGGATAAGATGGATAAGCAAATTTTTGGCTAAGGGCAGAAATGTGCAAATGGATGACTAAACCAAATCACCTTCGCGTGATGGACTGGAGGAACCTGGATATGCCAAAACAAGGTTCGGAACAGGTTGGGCAAATGTAAACGGCTCCGTGATGAAATGGGTCGGCAGCAGCTACTGACGTAGATAATGCATGATAATGCAAGTATATAGATGGACAGATTCAGACTGCACCCCCTGGAGGAGAATGTCTGTTTTTCTTGAAGGGCCATCGGCATTGAAAAACATGAAAAGCATTCAATGTACAAAAACGACTCTCAAAACTGCAGTCAGAACATGCTGCGAAGAGAACTGATGCAGAGAAAAACAGCGAAAAATAAACATCAAACATTTGAGAGACATTGCAGCATCAAAAACAAGCGCAAGAAACAAAGGAACATGGAACTCGGAAAAGCAAACACAACGCAAAGGCCCATTTAGTCTCAGAAGTTATTGAATCGTGGAACAGCCCCAGATTTGCATCATAATGCTATTGGAAATTGTCGGTTTACTGTTGCCATTCTTGGTGATATCTGAATTTATGGTCATGGCGGATACCTTCTACATCTTTATTGAATTTGCTTGGTGCATATCCACATATCCACTATTATCCACTATACTGTTTGTTGGTTTTCGATGGTTTCGCAGTTTCTTGCTGGCCGCACTCAGCCCTGAGAGATGCAGATCAGTTGCCCTTCTCAACCCCTTGCGCCGGGCGCGTTTTTGCTCAGCTGTCTCGATGTCATCCCCAAAGCCAAGGCGGGAACAGAACCTTTGAAGCCACTGCGACTCCCCCATTGAGGGCACCGTCGCCCCATTGAAATGGTGCGTTTACCAATGTTTACCAAAAATGAAGAAATGCAAACAATGTGGTACAGTACGGTACGAAAATGTACAACATGTACAACAAAGCGCACGACTCGGCATGACCTTCACAACCAAGAAACCCCACTGTATAGATCAGGAAAATCAGACCTGAGCAGTGTAGCCAGAGCTTTCCCCTTGTGAGCTGAGGTAGGGTCACAGGAGGTGATATGAGATGACAGTGATTGAGGCGAGCATGCTGTTTGATAATCACTGGTGGCCTCGGGGTTGTGGAACCTCTAGATTCACTATGACTCGAGTGACTCAATCATACTCAATCTGATTTATCACCCTGCGTATCTCAACCAAGATACTCCAAGCATGAGATATAAGATGATATAAATGATACAAGTAAGTGATCGTACTAAATGCTCAAACATCCCAGTGGCCAGACAATGCCGCCGCAAAGAAGAAAGGTGCTAATGGGTCCAGTGTGAAGAGCCAAACGCTGATGATACCTGCTACGGCACCGCCAAGTGCTTCAGCGTTTCTGCAAACGACCTGTATGCTCAGAAACACGGTCGAATCACCCATCGAGTAGAACGTGTTCATGTCGGAGATCCACTTTGAAGCGTATACCTGGCTGTAGCATGGGCCCGCCACGAGGCTTTGGGCCTTCGTCAAAAAGTACGGGAAACGAAAAATGTTAATATTGCGAAGAAAAGGCTAGCATACAGCAATCAAGAACAAACAAAGACTGTTATTGAAGAATCAAGAATCACATCCATGATCCACCTTCATTCCGGATTTCATTCAGGGGCTAAGGACCTACTACATCCACTACATGACGCAAGTACCTAGAGGGTCCTAATGGCCCCGATGGGGAATTGTCACAAAACCATAACCTTTGCATTTGATTTCTCGTCAAAAAACGTAGGTGGTGCCCATGAAGACCTGCGCCACAATCGCAAGAGCCAAGACAGGGCAGCACAGTCCAATGTGGAAGATCACCCAAGTAGCTAAGCCGATACTCAGGTTGTAGGGCTCAGAAATGAGGTTGTGGAAAAAACGTCGCAAACAACTTGCTTCATCTGGGTTGTATTCTGTCTGAATAAGAACTGGAATCACTTGCATGGCAATGGCCGCCATCAAATCGCCTGCTGTCTGAGCGATGCCTGCCAACGTTGCCTCAGAACTGGCTCGGCCAGTGAAGTCCTTCCAGTAATCTTTAATGCCACCCTTTGGCCCCTGAGGGGAGAAGAGAAAAAATGCTTCAAACAAACTGGGGGTTGACAAGAACTCAGTCCATAGCAAAGCAGCTTCGTTCCAGTTGTGCACCTTCTTAAATAAGATCGCATAAGTTGCAAACTCCATAGCGTAGACCGTATTGTTACAAAAGGCACACAGCATCAATAAGAACGCCGGAAACCTCAGGTGTGGCACAGCTAAACCAGCACCGAAACAAATAAGAGGACCGAAACACAAACACAACAGCGGCTGAACTGGATTAACGCCAAAGTTTTGTGAACTGTTTGAAACTCCCTTTCCAGCACTTGGTGCCCGTCAAAAATTAGCAAACACTTGCCACCAAACGACCACCAATTGACCAAATACATCCAAATATGCCAACCACAACTTCTACTGCAAAAAATGATGGCACCAAGATCATTTTGGAATGCACCGTATCAACCATTTAGGAACACAGGGGTTGCAAGACCGTTATTCATTTTGGAATACCTCCGGCATATTGTATGGATCATTCCCGCACGTATCATACGTATCTACTCCCCTGCCAGCCCTGCCCTGCCAGCACAGCGCAACATGTTGAATTTTAGAGGATATTGTGCGTCTGGTTTGTCTGTTGGGGCGGCTGCATTGGTGCAGCCAGTTCGGATTGGTTGGGTCATGCTCGCCGCAACCGTCGAGTGATCGCTTTGGAAGTTATCTGCGGCAATGATATCCCCATGCCACATGCCATTTCGTTTTAAAGGTACGCATGCGAAACACAGCGGAATGGCTGCGCAGACCAGGTGGGTGAAGTTGGTGCGCGAGTAGTTTTTTGGTGTTTGGCAGTGTTTGCTGGCAGATTGCACTGGTTGCAGCAAGGTTGTGGACAGGTGTGGCAAAAATGGTAGCGCGCGCACTGCCAACTGAATCGGACACTAAACCCTTGAATTGAAAACTAAAACCTGGGAATCGGAAAATGAAACCCGTGGATCGGAAACAAAACCCGGTGAATTAGAAACTAAAATGGGTGAATCGGAAACTAAATTTTTGACCCATGAGTTGGAAACTAAAACCCGTGAACCGCAAACTAGAAACCAAGATCAGAAACATCCAGTTTATGAAATCAAGACAAGGGTTTGCTTTTGATTTTATTTAAGAAAAAATGGGCCCCGCCTTTTCCCAATACAACTTTCAACGTCTTGTTCAAAGGAGGTGGGAATTTTGATTTTCATGCTTACCAAGGTCTTGTTCAGAAAGGGACGGGAATGTTGAGTCTTCATATGGGGGTTGTCCTAAATTACTGTTCCCACAAAGGCCTCTTGGGCCGAGCTTGCGCCAACCTTGCGCGTTTCTTGCGCAACCACACTCCCGGATCACTTTCATCATTTCACTTGTTTTTCATCATTATTCTCGTACTTGTTTTCGAATGTTAAATATTTAGTATTCACTTAGTATTTCGTACTGGGAAGTAGTTTGTGCAAGCTTTGTAGTACACAGTAGTACTGGGAAGTAGTTTGTGCAAGCTTTGTAGTACAAAGTATTGGGAAGTAGTTTGTGCAAGCTTTGTAGTGCAAAGTAGTACTGGGAAGTAGTTTGTGCAAGCTTTGTAGTACACAGTAGTACTGGGAAGTAGTTTGTGCAAGCCATGTAGTACAAAGTAGTACTGGGAAGTAGTTTGTGGAAGCTTT